TAAAATGGTGAGCTATCCAAAGCACTTTCATTTTTCATTTTTATAAAGAAAAGTCATATAGGCAGAAAATGTTTGGCAGCTAAGACATATCAAATACCAAAAGCAGTCATTTAAGATGATGAGATTAGAAACCATTTTTGTGTTTTTTTTCCCCCATTAAAAACATTTTTTAAAACTCTTTTGAGGTCAGAGTTTTAAAAACTTTATTGTAGAATTTCTTCAGTCTTTGGTGTGTAAGAATGAAATGAGTTTGTGGGTTCCGTCTCAGCCATTGTGTCTGACTCATAGTCATTCAACCCCTTCAAACTCCCTACCTCCAGCCCAGGTCAGTTCCACTGAAGAAGGACCAAGGGTCTTCATGCTCTGGACTCCAACATCTGCCAGCCTGCTGTTTTACCTTTTCTTTAGATTGCTGTAAATGGGCCTGTTCAACATCAAGGCTCTTGGCAGAAGCCCCCATAACTCTAGCCAAGATTCTTTCACTGCGCCTTTCTCTGAGAAACAGCTATTCTCCAGTGAGTGATGCTGGGCGCTAGTGAGGCTGAAGGAGAGGAGGGCTCTGGCAGACACGCAGCAGACAGGAGACTGAACTAAGGGAGGCAGTGGGCATCCTGAGCCAGTCTGAGTATGGATGGTTTACACACAAGCTGGGCCCATAGCTGTTCCTGGCACCCTGCCTTTCATGCCCTTCATTTTCCTGTGGTGGTGATGATGATGATGATGATGATGATGATGATGATGATGATGACGATGATGACGACAATGACGATGATGACAGTATGTTGGTGATAATGTTAAGCTCTTCATGAGACTGCATATGATAATGGAAAAGGCACTTGCTTTGGAATTGGTCAGGCCTAGATTCAAATTATAGCTCTTTTACTTCTCAGCCATGAGGGTCAGCTTCACTTTCTTGAGCCTCTCTTTGCTCATCTGTGAAGTGGGAATAGTGCCTGTCCCATAGGATTGTTGAGGACCAAGTGACACACCATACCTAGAAGTGACAAGTATGGCTGCTGGTCCTTGGTAATTTTCACCATATTTGTCCATGCTATTCTTCTCCCTTCCTTGTGGCCTTAAGGGGACTGGAATTGACTCTCAGTGACTCTTTGCACATCCTGCTGGAATGAGGAAGGCTGTCTCTGTAAAGGGAATAGGGTATCAAACTGGCCTCTGGGAGTGGGAGTGGGTTTTGCTCAGCATCACTTCTGCTCTTGGGCAGCATAGTGAATTTTCTATATCTTGGTTTGCTGCTCTGTCAAGGGGATGGAACCTGTTTCACATGCTTTATAAGGGGCTTGCAAAGTGGTTGAATTTGAATGAAGTAACAGAGGACTTTTGCACAACAGGAACTATTATACAATAGGCAGGTAAAATAAAATTTCTGGTATGCCAGATGGAAATATGGTATCTCACATGCTGTGAGAGGGTTGTGTGCACAAATACATTTTTTTTGGGGGGGGGTCCGGTTGTGGGGCCTGAACTCTGGGCCTGGGCGCTGTCCCTCAGCTCTTCAGCTCAAGGCTAGCGCTGTACCACTTGAGCTACAGCGCCACTTCCGGCTTTTTTCTTTTTGCTTATGTGGTGCTGAAGAATGGAACCCAGGGCCTCATGCATGCAAGGCAAGCACTCTACCACTGAGTCACCTTCCCAACCACACAAATACATTTTAAATAGAGTAAGTATACAGCAGTCGAGGCTGCTGTTGGTATATTTTAAGAATTGTGATAAAGATGAAAAAGATGAACCTTGAGTTAGACTGTTCCCAGCGGCAGTTTGTACCTACAATATGGTTAAAGTTAGTAAATCTTTTTATTGATTGATTGACTGGGAAAGAAGTCAAGAGCCAAGCTTCAATGGCTCATACCTGTAGTGCTAGCTACTCAGGAGGCTGAGAACCGAAGGATCTTGGTTTGAAGTCAATTCAGACAGAAATGTCTGAGACTCCACTTAATTGACCAGCAAAATGCTGGACTGGAAGCATGGCTCAAGTGCTACAGTGCCAGCCATGAGTAAGAAAGCCAAGCAAGAGGGTGAGGTCTTGAGTTCAAGGCCTGGTACCAGCACACACACAAGTGTCAGGATGTGATAGTAAAAAACAAACCAAAAAACCCCAACATTTGCACAGGAAATAACCTGCTTTAAATCCTCTTGTATAGTCATGAGTCTGCTTAACTCTCACAATTATTTTTGAGAAGGGGAACTTCATTTGATAACTGAGGAAACTGAGCTGCAAGTGGAAAAATGACTTATACATTGTCTCCCCACTTTTCTGGAATCATTACCCCAGGATTTCTCTTTCATTTCCATCCCCACCCCTGTGCTCACACTGTCCTCAGTGCCACTTTTCCCAGGAGGCTTGTAGCCCTTATAGCCCTTGTTCTTGGCTACCCCAAGCTGTCAGCCTACAAATGCTGCTGTGCTGCTGGGCACTGCTGCCTACTCCATACAAGGCAGCTACAGGGCTGGAGCATCTTGGTCTGTGGTTGGGTCAGTCAGGGGAACAAGTTACCATTCTGAGTCTAATCACTCTGAGTCTAATGCTTCTCCAGCTGGAAAGTGTGCAGCTGTGGTTTTGGTGAGAGCCTGGCCACCTCCCTACTGGGACAAATTGCTGAAAATCCTCTTCAGTTTCTACTCTTTCTTATTGAATTGCCCTTAGTTCCCAATTCCTGGCCCAGACCTGTGATCAGCAAATAAAGATGTCCAGTAGCTCTGTGCTGCTGAGCACCCAGATCTTGGGCTCCATGCTGTTGCCTTCGAAGTTCTGGTATTGCAGAACATTTGGAAAACATGAATGATTCACTTAGTAAGTATTTCCTGAGAACTGGATATATGCTATGTGCTGGCTGGGGGCTGAGTGTGATCAATTACCTATCTGCCGAGCACTGAAAAATACATTGCTAATATTTTTGAAAAGTTTCCTTCTAGTTCTTCAATTTTTTGTTTATGTCTTTTATAGAGCACTTCTCTTATAGGTGTATAAACAGGATTTTGAGTGTTGCTGTTTAATTGAAGGGTGAAGTGACCATGTCTCCATGATAAGGGTCTTGAATCATTAAATCATTTTTTGAATTTTACTTCTTCTGATTACAAATGTAACCTGTGCTTGTTATAAAATAGTCAAGGCATTTTAGGAATAGATACTGGAATATTATTTATATGCACATTTTTCCTATAATATATAGGTTCTTAACCATTATTTAATGACTATGCATTTACTACTTTCCCATTCTATAACTTCAGATGTTATGATTTTTCATTATTAAAAATAAAGCCATGATAAATGTCTTTACACACAGGACCTAAGAAACAATGTTCAGATTCTATTTATGTGATAATTTCCCAGTTGAGAGATTCTGGGGTTAAATAGCATGAACATTTGCATCAGTTTGAATTTCTATCGGTGACATGAGCTTACTCATTTCACTACAGTTTGTTGGCATTGAATATTGTAATTAAAAATTACAACATTGTCTGGGTGCTGGTGGCTCACGCTTGTAACCCTAGCTACTCAGGAGGTTGAGATCTGAGGATCACGGTTCAAAGCAAGCCCAGGCAGGAAAGTCCATGAGACTCATCTCCAATAAACCACCAGAAAACTGCAAGTGACACTGTGGCTTAAGTGGTAGAGCACTCACCTTGAGCTGAAGAGCTGAGAGACAGTGCCCAGGCCCAGAGTTCAAGCCCCACAATCGACAAAAAAAAAAAAAAAATCAACATTGATGACAGCTGAACCATTTTTTTAAAATTTGTATTTCTTCAGTGTCTGTTGAATTTTCCATGTTTGTTAACTGGATATATTTAATTCTTCTTAAAATATCCCCTCTCCTTAACTCTTGGGATCTTAATATTCTTTTTATCAGTCCATCTAAAAGCTTTCTATAGCAGAGATAGAAGACATTGTGGAGGCTCATTAAGAGATAGGGCAAACCAGGTGGCAGGAGCTCATGCTTGTGATTCTAGTTATGTGAGAAGTTAAGATAGGGAGGATCTCTCACTCCAAGGCCAGGGCAAGAAAGGTTTATGAGACTCCTTCTCAACCCATCACTAGGTGCAGTGACATGCCCATCATTCTAAGCTAAGTGGGAGCTGAGAGCCCCAGTTCAGGGAAGATGGCCATTCAGCCAGCCTGAGAAGAGAAACCTATGATGTCATCTTAGCAGAAAGCAGCCGGGGCATTATGCCAGTGCTCCATTCCTGTTATCCCGTGTACAATGAAAAGCAAAAAATAGAGGACCACAGTACAAAGGTGTGCCTGGAGCAAGAAGGGAGACCCTATCCTCAAAATACGATAGATCCAAGAAAAGAGGGGGCTTTAGGTGTGGCTCCTCAGTATTTACCTGGCAAATCTCTGAGTTCAAACCCCAGTCTAAAGATACATGGAAGGTTCTCAGTGTGTATGTCAGGTGGGGTGGGGTGGGGTTTAAATGCTGGCTTGCAGAATCAAACTACTGTAGGTTAAATTTGGGGATTGCAACTTTGTAGCTGTGTATACTGAGTAAATGATATAAGTGTCTCTGTTTTTTAGTCTTTAAAATCAGTGGTAATAGTATCTTTTTTGTGTGTGTGCTAGTGCTGGGGCTTGAACTCAGAGCCTGAGCACTATCCTTGAGTGTTTTTGCCTAAGAGTAGTGCTATGCTACTTGAGCCATCATCCACTTCTGGTTTTTGGGTGGTTAATAGGAGATGAGTCTCATGGACTTTTTTTGTCTTGGCTGGCCTTAAATTGTGATCCACAGATCTCAGCCTCCTGAGTAGCTAGGATTACAGGCATGAACCAATCACCAGTCCCAGCTAATAATAATATCTTAAAGGGTGATTATTAATGAACAAGAATGTCTATGTAAACTTTTTAGTTCAGTGCCTGGCTGATAACTCGATGTGAACTTTTATTGCTATTATTATTCCCAGATAACCTTTTCCTGTTTCTGAAACATTTGGCCTTCTACCCTTTTGTAGCCCCAGTAATCAAACGACCTTATTTTGTGTTTTTGTAGATCAGCCAAATGGCCGATGACACAGTTGCAGAGCTGGACAGGCATCTGGCAGTGAAGACCAAAGAACTCCTTGGATGAAGGTCCACCGTGGCCCAGCCACACACCAGAGCCTGGTTTCTGGTGGATCCCATAGATGGCAAATGGACACCCCTCTCCTACCAGCCACACAGAAGGTTGTAACTATCCTGTCATTGATGAGAGGCCCAGCCTTCCCCTCATCCCCACTGTTCTGCTAGGAGCCTTCTGGTGTGGAGAATGAGGACACTACTGGCGAAGGAGCTTTCCTCAGGCAGTTGCCTTGTCCATGGGTCCCCACAGCCGGGGACCATTGGCAGGTTATCACATACTGTTCCTAGTCTCAGGAGCCTCTTTTTCTGTGAATCAGGCCCCATCTCTGCTTGGACTGATGTGAGCCTGAACCCCTTTGCTCAAGGCCCATTTTCATCGTCATAAAATCTAAATAAATTTAAAAAATAACTACAAAGAAAAAAATAAAGTTGGTGTGGATAGATAATCTCTAAAAAAATCTATATATAAAACAATGATGTTTTCACCTCTGGATTATCTTCACATTTGTTCTGCTCTCTGCCTGGACCACTCTCTCTCCTCACTATCTGGTCCTGTTCATCTTGGATGTCATGTCTTCTTGGGAAGTCTTCTTGTCCCCCTAGCCTAGGCTGTCATAGCTTAACGTACCACTTTTATTTGAACCCCAGTCTGTTTCTTGGCATCACACCTAGAGAGAGGAACAGAAGAGAAACATTTGTAGGCATTCATGTATTTGTATTGTGAATAAATGATGCATAGTAGCTACTCAGCAAATGATGGCTACTTTTCTTCGTTTTATGGTTATCATGCTGTCATTTTCCACTCTTGTCTTTGTCCTGGGCATTTCCTGGGTATGGTAGTAAGATGCTTTTCCCCTAGGGCCAGTTGTTGATAGACATGGTTTATTGTGGCAACCTTTGAGTGCTAGAATTTTTCCCCCTCCTCTTTCTCTTCCTCCCTCCCTCTTTCCTTCCCTTTCATTTCTAGGCATTATTTGTAATCTTCACAGTAACTTGACAGATGAATATTATTTCCATTGACAAATAGGAAAATGTAGATGACAATATTAGGTAAGAAATCCTCCTAAAAGAGTAAAGCTAGAAGCCACTGGAGGGTTTTCATTATTCATTGTCAGCCTCACTTTACAAAAATGTGAAGTTTCTTGCCTAAGGTTACATAGCTAGTGAATAGGATTCACATAGAGGCCTGATTCTGTCATCTGTTCGGCTCACTGGTGTCCGAGGAAGGAAACGACCTTGTTCCTACTATATTCTCGCGGTCATCACAAAATACTTCTGCATCCAGATTTGTGAGGCTTTCCTCACACCATTCTCCAGGGGCCAGCAAGCATCTTGCACTGTAATCAATTCCAGTGCACTCTGCCTGGAGATAGTGTCAGATCCCACAGGCTGAGAATTGAACCCCATAAAACTGCCCCTACTTCCAATTCCAGTCATGAGTCTGGGCCACCCTTACTTGTTGACTGCCCTTCTACAAACAGGGTGCCTAACCTCCTCCTTTGATGTGCTGAACAGATCACAGAACTCAGGGCAAGTTTCCTGCCCATTATTAAGGACACAGATGAGGAGGGACATAGGACAAGGCTGAATGTCCATAGTCACCTGTGTCCCTCTTAGCACCTCTAAGTGCTCAAAGGAGCCGCTACCTCCTGCCTCCTGGTAAGCATTTAATGGGTACCCATGCATTGTCATGTACTGTATGATATGCTGGGAGCACTGATAGGAGGGGTCAGCTGTGATGCCTGCCATGGCTCTGTGTGGCACCTTGAGAGGAGGTGGTGGTTCTGGGTCTGCCAGGTGTCTGCCTTCAGAATGGGGCCACTTGGCTGGCAGTGGGGCCTGGTGGAATGCCTTGGGAGCCGTATCTGACCTCTTCCTGTTTGACCCCCTCCAGATTCATGCTGGAGGTAATAAGGGCTGCTCTGCTCCCTCTGCCCATGCTGTGACATAGCCAGTGAGAATTCAAGGTCAGGATTAAGGTCAAGGATGAAAGGACAAACCCCGTTTGCCAGCCCTCGGTGGTCATCCCGCGGTCCATCACAAGTCCACCAGAAGAGCACAGGGACAGAAGGTGAATGAAGGAGCCCCTTTTGGAGGCCAAGGCACAGAGCTCTGCAAACAGGCTTTCTTGTGGCCCAAATCCCTCACTCACGGCAAATGTGCTTCTCAAAGATGCAGGATTTTTTTAATAAACAGAGGAAATGATAAATTATGTTGTAATTCCACTCCAAAGGCATTTGGTTCTTAACAGCCAAATCCTCTGTAGTCTTTAAATAAACAAAAACTTATTTGGGGACCAGACGGGGTGGGGGTGGGGAGAATGAAAGATTTTCTGTACTTGGGTCCCACATGTCAACAATTTCTCTCCTGTGTATGTGTTGGCCAAAGCCGTATATCATGATAAATGAATAAAGGAAAACGTGAAGCCCAGGGCAGTCACACAGCTCAGCAAATGGCTTTCAGCTGATTGCTCTATTTCAGTTGACATTTATCAAAGGGTTCTGTGTTTCTCTTTGTCAGGGGTACAGTGGTGGCAGGGGTAGAGAAGAAATTACCTGTTTGGATATGCTGAGTAATGACTGTGGGGCAGTTTACCTCCCTTCTCTCCTGAAGTCTCCTCTCCCTCAAAAAGAAAGAGCTACATATGGAAATCCTCACACTTGCCAAAAGAATTAAGCACCTCTGTTCAGTTCAACGATTTGACTCTCAAGGTCCCACAAAAAAACCTCAGGCCAAAGAAGTTTTTTGCCTCTTCATTTTTGTTTCCTTTTTGTATGTGCACACTGTAAAAATAATTAGCTATTTCTTTTTATATTTGTGTGTGAGTGTGTGTGCTGGTGCTGGGGCTTGAACTCGGCCTGAGTGCTGTTCCTGAGCACAATTTTGTGTTCAAGGTTAGCTTGAGCCACAGTTCCACTTTTGGCTTTTGGGAGTTTAATTGGAGATAAGAGTCTTTTGGACTTTTCCTGCCTGAGCTGGCTTAGAACCATGATCTTGAGTAGCTAGGATTATAGGCATGAGCCACCAGTGTCTAGCCAATTAGCTATCTAATACAACTAGAGCACAGTCCCTGGCACAGTGCACACTGAAGAAGAGAAAAAAAAATTGTTTTCATATCCCATCCGATTGACAGATGTCAGAACCAAAGTGGACAAAATGATGGTGAAGCAGCAATGGCACAGACAGTACCAGGTGTTGCTGTGTACTTGCTGCTGCTCTCAAAAGGATGTCCAACATCCTGTGTCCACTGGAACAGCTGGGTGAGACTGTGCTGTTGGGGGAAAAAAATCATAAGGCTCAGACCTTCCAAAGTCATAGACTGAGATTTTATTTGTTCTTAATGTATGCTCAGCTTTCATGATGAATGCTTAAAAAAAAAGTATTCCCTCTTTTGGTGTACATAGTTGATGTATAAACAGGAAATGTAGCTTATAGATAGTTGTTTTGGTTTTCTATATTCTTAGTTTTTGACCCTTTGGGACTCTTGGTCTGAGAGGGTGTGTTTTGGTCTCCTGTAAGTATATTTCTGTTTTTGTTTTTTTTTTCTTTCCTGCATTTCTTGTGACTCCCACTGCGTGGACCTGCTACAGGGGTGTCCGATGCATATCTGGACAGCAGAGCCTTCCATCTTCATTGCCTGCAGTGCTTTTGGACCCGAGTCCTGTCTCATTCTGTGTCAGATCACAGCCCTGGTGTGGTTTCTGTTTACATTTACTTGGTACATCTTTCCTCATTTCTTTATTGTTAGCCTTTCAGAATCACTGTGTTTTGGATATGTTTCTTTTATAGAGTTGGGTTTTATTTTACGAACCATTTTGAAACTCTCAACTGTTTTCTATTTTTAATTGTATAATACACATATCATAATATTAATCATCTTAACATTTTAAGTGCACAATTCAGTGGTGTTAAGTACATTCACGTTGTTGTACAACCAGTCTCCAGAACTCTTTATACCTTGTAAAACTGAAACTCTACACCCATTAAACAAACACTAGCTCCCCATTTCCCCCTCTTCCCAGCCTCTGGAGGCCCCAGTCTACTTCTGTCTCTTAGTTTGCTAGCTCTAGGAACCTCATGTAAGTGGACTCATGGAGTATTTGTCATTTTTGACAGGCCGATTTCATACAGTTTGGCATCCTCAGTATACATCCATATTGTGTGTGTCAGGATTTCTTTTTTTTCCTAAGTCTAATTTTTCCCCTTAATATTTGTGTGTGTGTATGAAACTTTTTCATAGGTGACAAACTCATTTCTGTTTGTTGGCAATATTGGTATGTGTAGAGAAACATTTTTTTCTCCTACTTCTTTTTTTTAGTTGGCTGTAGGGCTTGAACTCAGGGCCTGGAAGCTGTCCTAAGCTTTTTCACTCAAGGCTAGCATTCTTACCACTTTGAGCCACAGCTCCACTTCTGGTTTTCTGGTGGTTAATTAGAGATAAGAGTCTCACGGACTTTCCTGCCCAAGCTGGCTTTGAAATGTGCTCCTCAGATCTCAGCCTCCTGAGTAGCCAGGATTACAGGTGTGAGCCACCAGTGCCTAGCTGAAACATTTCTTCTTTAATATTTACTAACAGAGCTGTAACAAGAGAGACGATTAGGGGAAGCTTTAGTTCTCCCTCTGGGATCCAGCATCCCTAAGTTTTCCCAAGACAGCAGATCCCCCTGTTGTGGGGTTCCCTGGCGTAGGGCAGGCTTGAGCCTTGACCAAAATAACTTCCTCTTTCCAAGATACCACTTCACAGCAGTTCTCTCCTTCCTGACAAGAAACAAATTTAAAAGTACAGGACCTAGCCAGGTGCAGGTGGCTCATACCTGTAATCCTAGCTACTCAGGAGCCTGAGATCTGAGGATCATGGTTCAAAGCCAGCCCAGGCAGGAAAGTCTGTGGGACCAGAAAAACAGAAGTGGCACTGTGGCTCAAGTGGTAGAGCTTAGGGCTGAAGAGCTGAGGGGCAGCGCCCAGGCATAGAGTTCAAGCCCCATGATTAAAAAAAATAAATAAAGGACCTTGACTTCATGTTGGGAAGCTCTAGGAGCTGCTCAATTTTGTAAATAAGGATGAAAGCACAGAGAGGTTAAGTTGCTTGGTCAGAGACACACGGAGATTTGGAACTCAGGGAGTCTGGTACTTACTCTCTCAGTAGGCACCCTCATAAGTTTAAAAAAAAATTCTATACTCATAGCTACTCAAGAGGCCTAGGGCAAACAGTTTGGGAGACTCCATCTCATCCTATTACAAGCTGGGTGGGGTGGTACACATCTGTCATCTAGCTACCCAGGAAGCATACATAAGAGAACCGCAGTTCAGGTTCACCCCCAGCAAAGAGTGAAACCTTTTTAGAACAATAAGAAAAGTAAAATTGGGCTGGGAGCTTGGCTCAGGTGGTAGAGTGCCTATTTAGTGAGTGCAAAGCCTTGACTTCAAACCCTCGTATGCTAAAAATTAAGAGAAAAACCCTAGGAGACCAGTGAGGCTAGAAAGGGCCATAAGTGTGAGTGGCCCTGGAGCGTGCTTCCTCCCTGGGTGGAAGGAAGGGGGTGGAATCTGTTCAGTAGTTTCCACTTAGGCCAGAGAACTTGTGCTGTGCACTGCTGGCTTTCACCTTCACTCTGGGCCAAATAAGTAAACACAACGTAGCCAATGCTTTCATAAAATTAAATTTATGGGCTAATTTAAAATTATGTACTACTGTACGCTCCTGAGATGCTTTTTGTTGTTGACAAAATGTTGTTTCTCTTAGGAAATGATAAG